GGGGCAGTCCCGTTAGGGTCGGGGGGGTGAGGGGCAGTCCCGTTAAGGTCGGGATCGACAGGAGGGATACGCCGTCTGCGTTGATGGGGCCTGGCAGAGGAGACAGGATCTGAGCGAGGTCGTTCCTCCGTGACACTGAGGGGGGAGCAATTAGCTGTTTTTAATAATACCTTCAAGCACTGCTGCCCAGGTGACGGACGGTCACCCATGTGCTGTGCAGTACGTCCATCCTGTCCCAGGGTCACATACCATAATATTTATCATGGTGAAAATACATTGTCACCAAGCCCCCGACAGACAGCAGCCCCCCCCATATCTCTCATGTTAACTGGTACAGTATGGTTATCTCAGCTTCCCAGGGGCGGTTTTTGTGACCAAACAGAAGTTCGTTTACATGACTTGTTAAGTTTCACTAAAGCATATCATCACCAAACAAGAGCATTTTCATATAGCGACACCTCGCGTTGTGGGGCATCCTGAGGAGAATAATACAGGGCTTTAGGGATGTCAGAAAAGAAGCAAAACGATACAGAATACAGTTCTGAAGCTGACCACATAGGAATTATGGTAGGTATTAAATTTTGGTTACTGATTTAGAGGAAAAACTTTGATCAGACTGGCAAATAATATCATGTTAATATTGATAGTGATGGTTTACAGCTGTTTACGTGGCTCCTGCTTAGGTTCCTGATTGTGAAATGAGCGCTTGCTATAATTATATATAAATGTGGGTGGGGTCTGAAACAGAAGCATCAAACAGCCAGTTCGAGAGGGAGAAATGGCCCCATAAACCACAATAAATAAAATTAAATAGCGGCATTAGGGTGACCACCTAATCCATGCCACGGGGGACACGATGAGCTAGGACAGGATTCGTAAGCTACCAATTCAATTAATAGGGCCTGGATTTCACTTAAGCACTGAGATCTTGCTGTGTGACATATGAGTCTCATATAATCATGCATCATAGAACTGAAGCATTTAGCCGAGCGCAGGAAACTTTCAGTTTTATAGTTTGTAAAGCCTGAAGTAGCTCATAGTGTGTGCCCCCCCCCCCCCCGACATGGATTAGGAGGTCACCCTAGGTAGCATGAGAATCTTGTGGAACGACAGAAAACTGAAAGTATTAGTCACACCTTTCGACACGGGGGCACGTCTCAGACTCCCTAATCCTCCCAAATCTCTGCCGCATTTAAACCCCAGCAAGGCAAACAATCCCATTGGGGTCAGCTGGCTTTCATTACCTGAGGTGTCTGTTAGTGCTGGGTCTGTGGCTGGTCACCATGGTAACGTGAGCGTTCTGGAATCCAGCCCCTCGCCGTTCCTGCGCCCCTCCCATTGGCTCGCAAACCATCGTCTGGCATTATCTAGACTTTCCACACTCCCGAAACATACATAACCCTTGAGTTCAGGGCACGAGTCTCAACATAGTCTAGCGAATATTCGCTTAATGAAAGCACATTTTTATTGAGTGCGTTTATTGGTTTCGAACGTGGCGGTAAATGAAGCCGGCTCCAACTGGGATTGTTTCCTGCCTCCCTTCTGTCGGCTTCCCTTCTCCTCACACGTCTCCCCTTCCCACTCTCTCTCCCTCTGCAGTCATCCAGTTCGGTTTCGTCACCCTCTTCGTCGCCTCCTTCCCCCTGGCCCCCCTCTTTGCACTCCTGAACAATGTCATCGAGATCCGGCTGGACGCCAAGAAGTTTGTCACCGAGCTGCGCCGGCCCGACGCCGTCCGGGCCAAAGACATTGGTACCTACCGCAGACCACGCTGCCACCTCACACAAAGAGCCCCTTTTACTGCCGTGCTGGGGGGGATCCCAGCTCCCAACAGCCCATTTGGGATGGAAGGAGATTCGACACATATGTTCAGGCCATAACTCTAGCAAGCTTGTGGCTGACATTAATTGTAATTTGAGTTTGTGTTTAGGGACAGTAGTGCAGATGCATATCACCACTAGATCAAAACTGTAGCTTTTATCGATCAGCCATATCATTAAATCCACTGACTTGTGAAATAAATATCATTGATTATCTCATTACAAAGGCACCTGTCAAGGGTGTTGTTATATATTAGGCAAGAGAACAGTCAGTTGATGTGTTGGAAGCAGCTCCAAAACATCCAAGGAAGGTCAACTAGTGAACTGGCAACCAGGTCATGGGCACCCAAGGTTCATCGATACACGTAGGGAGCAAAGGCTATCAGGTCTGGTCCGATACCATAGGAGGGCTACTGTAGCACAAATTGCTGAAGAAGATGAAGCTGACTATGATGGAAAGGTCAGAACACACAGTGCATCACAGCCTGCTGTGTATGGAGCTGCGTAACTGCAGACCAGTCAGAATGTCCATGCTGACCCCTGTCCGCCAACAATGGGGACATGAATGTCAGAAATGGAGCAATGGAAGAAGGTGGCCCGGTCAAGTCTAGTTTTCTGTTACGTCATGTGGATGGCCGGGTGAGTGTACATTGTTTACCTGGTGAAGAGATGGCGCTATGTGAAGAAGGCAAGCCAGCGGAGGCAGTGCGATGCTCTGGACAATGTTCTGCTTGGAAACCTTGGGTCCTGGCATTCATGTGGATGTTACTTTGACACGTACTTCCTACTTAAACAATGTTGCAGACCACGTACAGCCATTCATGGCAGTGGCCTCTTTCAAAAGGATAATGTGCCCTGCCACTCTGTGAAAATTGTTCAAGAATGGTTTGAGGAACATGAAAAACAGTTCAAGATGTTGACTTGGCCCCCAAATTCCCCAGATTTCAATCCAATCGAAAATCTATGGGATGTGCTGGACAGACAAATCGGATCCATGGAGGCCCCACCTTGCAACTTACTGGACTTGAAGGATCTGCTGTTAACATCTTAGTGCCAGATACCACAGGACACCATCAGAGGTCGTGTGGAGTTCATGCCTTGACAAGCCAGAGCTGTTTTGGTAGCACGAGGGGGGGCTACACAATTTTAGGCAGTTGGTTTTAATGTTATAGCTGATCGGTGTAGATCAGTGATACTCTTTGGATTTTTCGTTAGTGTTTCTCTCCGTACCTTCTTACTCCGGGCATCGTGGACCTAGACTGCTCATGAAGTATGGCTGAGTTCTTGGGTCGCTACTGGCTCTGACAAATCTGGGTGTTCTCTCTCTCTCTCTCTCTCTCTCTCATTCTTTATGCAGGAATCTGGTACAACATCCTCAGCGGAATGGGCAAGTTCTCAGTCATTATAAATGTAAGTGGTAAATCTAAGTGCTTGCAGCTTCGGGGCAAATAATGGGCTCTAAATAGCTTTACCCTTTCAGGCCAGGCACATTATTCAGCCCATTTTTTTTAAATTAGACCACATCCCTTTAGAATTTCATTTTCATAACCTGCTCTGGGCACCACAAGACTGAGGTTATGGTCAGACCAGGAAAGTGTTTCAAACTTGTCCTCATTTATACTTGAATGAGGAGAAGGTGGTAGCTCCTCTGCAGCTTGGAGAGTAAGGGTTCGACTTGAGGCGTCGGTGCAGTGTTTCTTGTGAATTTGGCGCCTCCTGGAGGCTGTCGGGTACATTCTCGTTGCGACTTACCCATAGTGGGACATTGATCAGTCAATGGTTTCTCTGTTGTACATCACCATGGGAACTGTGGAGGGTACTGTCAGGTTGTCACAACAACTTACCACCTCCTGTATCTCTGCTGCTGTTTGTGAATGGCGTTTGTGAGCTGCTAGCTCTCGTAAACTTACTTTAAATGAACTAGAGGCAGTTAAATATATAAAGAAGGAGGTTTGTAAAAGCCAGTATTAGAAACACAGCAAGAATTCCCATTAACCTTGTACTCTGAACTTTAGAAAGCGGACTTAGAAATTGGGAAACATGATCAGATGAGAGAGGCCTTTGAAATCTCATCTGCTGCTGTTTAAGCTCTTCCTGGTCTTCATTCCTTCTCTCTCTGCCCTTTTACTGGATGGTTCCTTTGACATATATGTGGGCAAGTCCCCGTTCTCTGGGTCAGTAAGTGATTAGTTTATACCTGAAGCAGAAGACAAAGTTCCTAGCTGTAGAAATGGCCTCAGTTGTACAATTATGAGCAGGGGACAATCTGAAAAAGTATGGGTCCCCCTGGGGGATTCCTAACAGTAGATTTTGGGGTCCTTATGAAGTGCTGGGCCCCATGAACCTGCTGGGGTATCCATGCCACTCCGACGCCCCAGATTATGAGCTGCAGTAGATTAAAACCTCACAAGCACTGCTGTTCTCAAGGTCCTGCTTTAGTGCCTGGGTTAAATTAAGGTCTGAGCCCAGCCCCTAGCGGAAAAACATAAAGGGCTGTGAACAGCTGCCTCCCGTGGTCTTGGGGCCACCTCGGATGGTGCCTCAGGCACCGTCAGTCTCCGACGTCCTTCTCATCTGCGTCGCCCAGGCCTTTGTCATCTCCTTCACCTCGGACTTCATCCCGCGCCTGGTGTACCAGTACATGTACAGCGAGACGGGCACCATGCACGGCTTCATCGACCACACGCTCTCCTACTTCAACGTCAGTAACTTCAAGCCAGGCACAGCACCCGTCTCTTCCCAGTTCGACAGGGAGGTTACCATGTGCAGGTGAGGGCGGCGGCCGTGACCAGTTAGCGCCCCCTGGTGGTCAGCATAACCTTTGAATTGAGCGGGATGGAGGGTAACATAATAATCAGTATGTTAGTAATTATAAAGCAAGTGGGCTGAACTTTGGACTATAAGGTTACCTGTTTGAGAGCCAGGGGGTGTCTTGTACCCTAAAACAAGGAACTGAAGCCTGGTGTAAAACTGTAAGCTATATATGACTTTGAGTAGCCGCTTTTGTTAGACAACAATAAACATGCTATGGGGGAAGGTCCTCCACATATACTTTACTTGCCTTAAGATGGTGAGATGTTTTAATGCCATCCATCATCCATTGTCCAACCAGCTCTTCAGTACAGGTTTGCGGAGAGCCAGGTGCCCAACAGGGCAAAAAGCAAGGGATGTCACAGGTGTTGGCCAAAGCACCATAGGGGTGCGTAAACACACACGCAACACAGACCATGGTAATGAAAGCTATGCAGACTTATGTCTGATCAGTACTTGGATGGGAGTCATTTTAATTATGGGAGAAATGTAGACATCACATTTGTGAGCCTTTCTGCATGGAGCACAGGGCTGAAATGCATTTCCAGGGGGGCAATTTAAAACAGATCAGGCTTCAGTTTTACAGTCATGCTTTTACTCAGTAGACTTGTGCCCAGCTGTTTTGATTTAAAATTTTTATTGAATTTGAAAATGCTGACATGCATTTAGGCATTTGGGCCACTTCAGACTGTAAAAATGAGGTCTGGTAATTTGAACAGTCATTTGTCATAAAAATAACGTTAAATTTTCTTTACAGCAGGTTAGCATCTTGCTTTTGCTTTGTGGGAGAGTTGTAGCCTAGATGGGGGGTTTCTTTTTATTTTGATTGACTTTTTTTCTATCATCGATTCAGTTTGTCTGTCTTTGGGAGGCCGAGGTTTGTTTGTTTTATTACCGCCGTGTTTACTGGCCGGTTCATCGCGGTCCCAGCCTCGTGCGACTTCCTGGAGAATCTCCTTTCACTTGGGCCCTGTTACCACTTAGCTGCTCAGGAGAAATGCAAGCTTTGATCTGCATTTTTATTCCCTTTTGTTTACTTCGTATGAAGTGCGATAACGATGAGGGAACGGTTCGAATACCGTCTTTTTTTAGCTCAGGTCAGGATTTACAGCCGCTCTCCTGGCCCGCCGGTTTTCCGGAGACCCTGAGATCACTCTCAGATGCTTGTCTCTCCCGCTGTTTCCTCGCATGGTCATGGCCTATATCATGCGGCTTTGGAATGGCAATGGGAAGTAAGTTAAATGTGTTAACAAACATTGGCTGATTATTACCACATTCCGAAAATCAGGCACAGAAGTCCGGGACGTGGACCTGGGGATGTCGATGAAAGAGCAGTGTCTGGCGCTTAAGCGGGTTGCCTCCTGTAGGTTATCCAGCTACTGAAAATGGTAAAAACTGACACTCTGGATAAATGTCTCAGCTAAACAATTAAAACTGTCAGCTGATGCCTGAAATGTACCAATGTGAAAATAGCATGGGATCATGGGTGAATCTTAATACCAAGAATGCAAAGGCCGTACTTGTGGTCTTGGCAAGACTGGTCTTGCTAACTTGCCTTCCATTGCGCACAACAAATCATGGGATTAGTCTTTTTCGGAGAGGATGCAGCCAATGCATCCTTGACATTTGGGGCAGAGCAAGACCTTGTGTGCTTGTGTTCTTAGTATTGGACCTTGTCTTCGGCAATGGAAGATGACGTAAAACAGGTACACGAGAACACAAGTACGAATATTGAGATATTAAGAGGCTATGAAAACAGTTTGGTTGTAATCACTGACTGGCTCCTTACAGGGACCAATGAGGTTGTATGATTGGATGTGTGGCTCCGCCCACTCCTGACACTCAGCTCTTCTGTCTCTCGTAGGTATAAGGACTACAGGGAACCTCCCTGGTCCCCGACACCCTACCAGTACTCTAAAGAGTACTGGTCTGTCCTGGCTGCGAGACTGGCCTTCGTCATCCTTTTCCAGGTACCCGCTAGCTTCGTCGATAGCTCTGTCCACCCAGCTGTTAAAATGGGACTTCGCTGGCTTCAGCCATTATGTAAATTCAGCCAGTATGTAATTTCTGCAGCTTCATTTAAAAGAAATCGTTTTGCACAGAGTGAAGAAATTGACATAAGGTGCTACCTGAACAATACATCAGTTTATGCAAAATGAATGTATTACTGTACATATCTGTGAAATATATGTATATGACACACACACAGGTTTGTAATTATACCATTCATTTCTATGGGGAAAACTCTAATCCCAACATGATGACCTTACCCAGCCCTAACCTTAACCATAAATAACCAAATTAATACCAGACTTTTTGCATTTTTAGTTTTTTGATTGCATTCATAGTTCTTTGTGGAGTCCTGAAAAATGGTCCCCACAACATCAAAATACCAGGATTTTATCACATGGGGGGGGGGCATTTGGTCCTCACAGTGAAATATAACCCTAATCCACGCACACAGCCTAAGGCTCCGTGGGCTAAGTCTCTATGCCTGTGATCAGAAGGTCGCCGGTTCGAGCCTCGACAGAACCATCATATGGCTCTGGGCCCTTGAGCAAAGCCCTTAATCCCCAGCTCCGGGGGGGGCTGCTTGTTGACTGACCCCCAAGCTATGACAAGCAATATGGGGTCAGCATAGTGAAGCATTCTAATATACTTGTGCAAGTGGCAAATAAAGCATGTTTGTTAAACAGATTGTGTTACTATGGCTGTAGGAACAACAATACATTTTTACTGTTGTGTAGTAGTTGTAGCTTGGAAACTTGCACATTTGGAGAGTATGTTGAAGTGGCAGGATGTTACTGGTTTACAAGCCCATCACTGGTTATCCACCAGTTCCCCCTTCCCATTCCTGACGTCTCTGCACTCCCACCCTGTGTGTTTCATGCACAGAACCTGGTGATCGTTCTTAGCACGCTAGTGGACTGGCTCATCCCAGATGTTCCCAAGGACATCAGTGCTCAGGTCAAGATGGAGAAGACACTGCTGGTGGACGTGTTCCTGCACGAGGAGAAGGACAAGCTGCAGCTTATCCAGAGTCTGTTCCTCAAGGACAAGGAGGGACACCGCGCCCCAGCCGCCGGCCAGCTCCCGGCCCAGGAAGGGGAGGGTGGCCCTCGTGCCAGGGGCCGCGCAGCCAGTTTCAGCCAGTTCAGCAGTCAGCCGTCGCCCGGGACGACCGTGAAGCACACAGAGGTGTGAGGGGGGGTGTGGGGGGGGTGAGGGAGGGTTCACCGGAATGGGTCGGGGAAGGAGAAAGGGAATGATGACAAAGGACGGCCTAGGGCTTCAGGATGGATGCTGCAATCGCTCATGTGAGCGTTGGTAATGGGACCTTGGAGGAACATAAGGCCCCAGGGGACAGACGCTGACAGCCCCACATGGCTTGGCTGGGGGGGGTCTCACCCGGCTCACGTCTGGCTTGGAGTCCAGTGTTAATTCCTTTCTGTCCATCCGAAATTGTGTATAAAGGAATACCGTTGGCGTCTCAGCTGTGACGAGACTCTTCTCCATCTCCCTCTCCGCTACTAGCTGACTAATCCTGTTTCTGTCCATGTCCCGACATCCACGGGGCAGCAGCCTGTGGGCACGGTCGTCCCGGCGGCCCGTCGGGACCAGGAGCGAGGAGGACTGTACACCCTGGATGAATGATAAGGCGGCTATCCGTGGGACAGACCCGTTTCCAAATAGTTTGGAGATTCACTCGATATCCTTCCATGAATAGGGTAAATGTTTTTAAAGCTGACGCTCAATGCTATATTTTAGTACTGGCTTATTTGCATTGTACTCCGCATCTATACAAAACAAGCCATCATAATGTTATTGTTAATAAATATCTTTGTATATTAGGTCAAGGAAATACACAATTAACTATAAAATAAAGTACAAAATAAGTAATGTTCTGGAAGTATGGAATGCTGTCTCCTGAATTCTCCACCATATGGTGTGTGTACACTCTTTTGAGTCCATTTCAGATGTGGTAAGTAGGGAGTATTTACTGGGTAAGCTTTGGTAAGGAGGTTGCCTCCTGTGTCTTTCTCAGTGTGTGTCTGCGTGTTTGCTTTGGTACAGTACTGTGGAGAAGATATCTGAACCTTTGCTTTGGATTATTAGACCAAACACTCATAGGATAAGAACCATAGAACAATGACAGTAGTGATCACTAATGTTTAAGCGGACAGCCTTTGTTAATAACCATTGGATAAATTGTGGCTAATTTTGGCCGGTTAATTTTAGACAAACCAAATACGGCCAGTTTCCACATTAGTGAAGATCAGAGGCATTGTACCTTAATCTTCAGATTCAGGGTATCACATGTCTTCTCCCCCCCCCCCCTCAATGGAACGTTCGCCTGCAGTCATGGGTGTACAGTACTGGACTTTTCAAAATAACAACCACGACTGTGTTCCTTTGCTTTGATCGCGGGGTTATGTAATGGCGGAGCCAGCAGATTTAACAACAACCGGGTTGTTAAGCGCTGGCAAGGCTTGCTGCCTTTCCCGCAGTTCAGCATTCCTCAATGTTGGACAGCTCAGTTACCTACAAAGCCAGAGATGTTGGAAAGACGACAGGGAGAAGCTAGGTGGCGCTCTAGTGTACGGCTGGGCTCAGCACCAGTGAGTTCCACACACGAAGTAACCCTTTGCCCTCTTTAGAGAGGTTAGTCACTCTCAACAAGAGAAGCCCCTGGCTTTGCAGCATCTGTAAATACTGACCACTGTGCATGTGTGTTTGTGTGAATGATGCTCCTCGTGCCACGAGATGTTTCACCCTGCAGCTTGTCTTGTGTTTACTCTAACCTCTCCGCACAGTTTGCGTTGTATCAAGGATGACTGCTGTTTGGAGGAGGGAGGGGTAGGTGAAGGTAATGGACTTGTGCTGTATAAACAGCCGGGCCTGAAATCCCTTCAGTTCGTGCAATGGAGAGCGTTCCGAAGAGGTAAAACTCATACTGAACAGTAGGCAAACGTGCTACAGCTCAGCTATTTCTGTCTCTCTCAGTCTTTCATCGTGTTTTATGGTAAAAGCAAATGGGTGGGGGGATTAATAACGTTAATCCAGTAGGAGATATAATTAACTTTACTTTTTAGATTCTGAGGGTAGCTGGACGTATAGATAAGAACATACAATTCTGACCGTAAGATCTTAGAGGGAGCTCTGTTATTTTAGATGAAAACTGTAATTCCTTTGGGATAAAATCAGCTCTTGCTGGGGGGGGGCATGTTTTGATGTTGTCATTCTAGAGAAGGGAACTTTTTTACTGGCTGAGCCATTTACTTGTCAGACATTTTTGTCCAAGGCGACGTACAAATGAGGATCAGAGAGCAGAGACAGCCAGCGTCCCTGGAGTGATTGTGGTTAAGGGCCTTGCTCAAGGGTCCCATCATGATCTCTTTTTCTGCCAGGCATGAGATTTTAACTAGTGACCTTCTGGTCAGAGAGGCCGAAGCCACAGAGCCACACACCAGCCCCCTTGGGACCCAAAATTATGAATGGCTGCATAAGTTAACAGGCATTTTACAATGTAACCAGCTGAAATGTAACTGAAATCGCCGTCTGATCACCAGGGAATTCCATACAGGAGTTGCTGGTAAACACGCAATGTCTTTCCAATCTGGAGGAAGTTTCAACTCATTATCCATGAAATAATTTGGGGAAATTTCCCCCTGCGATGTGTACGAGATAAGTCCCCCTGGCCACGTCCTCCTTGCCGCTCACAGTTCTGCTGGAGCTGTTGATATGGGGACCTCTTTGGATCATTCATCAGTCCGCCATTTTGAGTCACTGTAGCGATATGTCATACCAATAGCCAAATATTTCCACTGGCTCCAGGGTCCAGTCGTGTTCACAGCATAAGATATGTGTCTCGGATGATTGTAGCTTAAGTGTGTAATCACAGACTTTTTGAAATGCAAATAGTGACTTGTTCTTCTTTTATGCAGGAAGTTTTTATTGCTTAAGCGCCCACACACTGAGAGACATATTTGTACAGTCTCTCCTTAGGGCCCTTTTTGATTTTTTTAAAGCACTGGATTTGGCCCTTTCAGCTGTTGGTGTGTCTCATATCATTGTATTCATCCTTCGGTTTTAACTGTAACACATTCAAGGATCATGGCTCCCCAGATACCATCAAGATCATCATCGCTGATCTCCGAATCACCACCTGGTTCCATTGAGCACATAACTACTTGGCTTCCTGCAGCTTCGTGAAAATAAGATTAGTAGATAAGCATCTGAAAAGCTTCAGAAAGCTTCCCTCCCCCAAGTTAATTTCCTTTCTCGTTCCATTCTCTGTGGTGGTTAAAGGGAAGCCCAGGGACGAGGGGGAGGGTTCCCCAGGGTGAGGGATCCCCAGGGCGAGGGATCCCCAGGGGGAGGGTTTCCCAGGGTGAGTGATTCCCAGGGTGAGGGATCCCCAGGGGGAGGGTTTCCCAGGGCGAGGGATCCCCAGGGGGAGGGATCCCCAGGGTGAGGGAATCCCAGGGCGAGGGATCCCCAGGGCGAGGGATTCCCAGGGTGAGGGATCCCCAGGGCGAGGGTTCCCCAGGGGGAAGGGTTTCCCAGGATGAGGGATCCCCAGGGGGTGGGTTTCCCGTCCAGCTCCACTGAGCACCAAAAGCCCCGTTTTCTAGATCACATTTAGATCTACAGATCGTCCTTCAAGATATTCTTACTTGATCACAACAATCAGACTATCATCTTCAGGCCCCCCCACCAAAGAGTACTACCCCAACCAGCAGAATATATGGAGGGGGACCTTCCACCCCCGGACAACAAGATATATCGAGGGGGAGACAAACCAACCCAAATTTTGGTTGCTCCCCACATTATTTCTTTGTAAAAGTATCTTGGAGACCACTCTGCTGTAACTTAAAGGCCCAGTGTAGACATTCCTAAACAGTCAATCCCAAGTCAATCGCAGTTTACCCAAACACTGCAAATTAACAGGTCTATTTAACAACTTCCCAGAGCTACTTAGGTATGCAAGCAGAGCCGCTTATTCGTTTATGTTTTGTAATTTGTCGCCATGACAACCTCAGGTCAGAATGTATTAATGAAAATGTGCTTTGGCATGGATGATACAGGTTTTGCCCATTTCTGGTTGCTCCTGTTTTGTAGCCAGTCAGTTTTGTGCTTGAAGGTGACAGGGACATGTTCACAGTTCACCATTCATTTCAGATATTTAGTAGTGTCATTGATGTCAGTGAAACATCTTGACTTCCCAAAGAAAATCACATGAAATAAATCATTCTACTCCCTTGTTTTTTTTCTAATGAGACTCTAGTAGCACTTTGTTTTCTTCACCACTGTGGAGGGTAAAAAAAAATATCCCAAGCAGATTTTTTTCTTACGGGCTGTTGGGCATGAAGGTTGACTGCAAAAACTGGTGATCGCTCACAAAACAACTGACCAGAACGAGCTGCGAGAAGCTTTATCTGTGTCTCCTGAAATGTTGCTGGTTATTTCAAGTGTGGTGGAGCAGAATCAAGGATGAAACGGCTACAAATTACTGGCCACAGTGGGAGGTGGAGGACTGTATAATTTTGATTGTTGTAAGGTGGCCATTCAACAAAGGGTAAAGTGTAAATGGTAGTAATAGGAATACATACTAATGAATTATTATGCATTTTTCATTCAAGTTAGAGAGATGTGAGATCAAAATTTGTGTAGGTGGTTGGTACAGTGGCTCTGATTCAAAGTATGTAACTCCTAAGGTTTTGTCGCGAATTTGTTTGGAATAGATTTAAATTAAATGGAGGTAGAGGCAACTACTTCTATTCCAGTTGTATTAGTTTACAAGTTGGGACAGTTCTAATGGGTTTATCTCACCTTGGGCTTACATACATGAGATATAAGAGAGAAAGAGAGAGTACTGTTCCATCAAACTCTTACATCAAGAGTAATCTAGTCATCCGAATGAGCAGCATGTCCAGAGGGTACCGCTGTGAACACTGGAAGAAAATGCAAACTCTGCACATACAGACTTGAAGCCAGATATAATTTTGGCACTGTGAGACAACACCAGTCCCAGAATTTGCCTCTGCAACAGACTGATCTAACCATAGACCTTCCTATCCTGGACAGGGTCATAGGTCATGGGGATCCTAGAGCCAATCCCAGCCAGCATAGAGCAACAGGCAGGGGTGCACCATGGACTGGATGCCAGTCCATCACAAATTTGTGCGATATCTTGCATTGATTTCTGGATATTGGTAGCAAGTTTTACTGTTTGATGGTTGCTATAAATGTGTCATTTACCCCAGGGCCTTTTTCAACCAGCATTCTACGCTATTAGGTTCTGCTTAATAACAACTACATCCATTCTTTAATAAAAACGTCATTTAAAACAAATTGCAACCTTCACTCCCCCCATCCCATTGTGCACTGTGCCGTGTGGGAAAAACTATCCAGGAAACGGTGTGCATTTTGGTATTTCTCTGTCCCTGAATGACTGGGGCGTGCTGGGACAGGAGTGCGTGTTTACCTCTCAGTTGCTGACAGACTCTCTTTGCAGCAGCCAACTGTTTAATAGGAGTAGACAGGACACATACATTTCAATTCAAAAGGGATTTTTGACTTTTTTCAGCAGGTCCAGCTAGAGCTGATATGCTGCTAGTTCTAGCAATTTCTCCTCAATAATAACAAAATGAGTTGGTTAGTCTTTTCAAAACCAAACAGTGAAACATAGAATTCTAAATATGTACACCTGGCAAAGATATTACTACACCACGAAAACAAACTGGTTTTTGTACTTACTTCTACAGGATGAAAAGCTGTCTAGCTATTATCCAGAACAGGAGTGCTGGCAGCTAGCCTTAGAGTGTAGCTCTGCTACTGTGTGTGTATGTTGGGTGAAATGGTCTGTGTTGCATTTTCAGGAGGAGTTTTCTCAATCCCGTCACACTCCAGTCTCTTGTTTGCCGCCAGCTCCTCTTCTAGAACCTTCTTCTGGAAGCTCTGCAAAGTTGAGAGGACAGGTTGCCAACATGGCAGCATTTGCTATCAACTGTTTGCCTTGGTCGTTTAGTCAAATATATGGTTCCAGGTAACGTTTTCTTGGTTAAGATGTAGGGAAAGAATCTTACAGGATTCAATGTGAGAAAGTTACTTGGTATGTCCTTCCGGAAAGTACTATATAGTGCTTCAGCATTTCAGTTTTACGTGTTCTTGAAGAAATGGTACTTGACTTACAAACAACAACAAAATCCGGCATAGTCCGTCGTGGTTTTGGCACACTATAAAGTTTCGCCTCATTATACCTTTTTGAGATTGACATGAGAGCCTTCATTCGAGAGTCTGCCTGAGGGAAGATGATTACGACAGGTTTGAAATGCAATATTGATTCATACTCGAGCCCCTGTCATGTGTCTGGTGATGCTCTTGCGTAAGGTGTCAACTTTACTGGCACTGTAGCTTCAGAACTTTTAACTGCAATCTAACTGGGAAAACAGAGCAGTTGTGGCCGAGCCCAGCTCTAGCTATAGGCAGAATTGGTAGTTGCCTATAGGCCCCCAAATTATCTGCGGTGGAAGTGTAATGATCATCGATTTCCTTGATGGGGAAAGCTTTGCCTAGGGCCTCTAAAAAGATAGATCCAGTCCTGATAGTGGGTGTCACTCCTTCTACCATCCAGCCTCGGTAAGTGCACACGTGTGTAGCCAGTTAATTCAGCTGTAGGGTGAGGTGTGTCAAAGGCACTTTGTCACCATTAAATGGGAAATCGCAGTACTAGGATACGGCAGAGTTTTAGCAGTCCTGCAAATGACCAGTGGCCTTCTGCGGGGTTCTTCCACACGTGGTTCTTAATCATGGTTGGTTTGGCGGCTCAGAATTCCCACGTGTCTGTGCACCCTTGAAATGAGTTCAGGAAGTGGGACGTCCTTCAAAATGATGGGCCTCCTCCCATAGCGCAGACTTACCCTGAAGTCACGAAGCCGGACGGCCCTCTCTTTCATGGTCGCCTCCCGTTCCGCGGCCAGCGCTCCCACGTGCTCCTTCCACTGCTGCTCCTTTTCCTGTAGGTGGCGCACAAGAGCCCAAAGATTTTTACAGATCTGAATTTATATCGGCCCCATGTCAATGGATATATCAGCTTACCAGGTCGAGCGTTTGCAAGAAGGCGGGGGTTCAGAGCAAAGGTTCAGGCTGCTTCTGCTTGCCCTGATTGGTCAGACGTATGTAACTCATGTCACATGAGCTATGAGCTGGACAAATTACAGTACGAAAGCCTGTTCCCTGGAATGACTGGGGGGCGTCTCTTTGGTGCAAAATATTCATCGTTAGGCAATTGCATCATCTTGTCGTGCAGTAAAGGGATAGTTTTGGTGTAAGTTCGGAGGAGGGGGGTATTTATTTTTCTAGATTATGTTGGCTTATGTTAATCTGCATCAGATGGAATAAGCGTGGGACTCTGGGCAGGTCACACCACCCCCGTGACGCAGACTGTCATCAATTAAACACGGTCAGGGCCCCCCGGGCTTTGCGAAGCAGACCCATATGGTGAGAAGTGTCAGCTTTGGTGAAGCGGTGTTTACTTCCTGCCCTTTTCCCTTCCTCACTCCTCTCTCTGACAAACACATAAACACTGAAGTGCGTGCGGAGAAGGCCAAACCTCCTCATGTCAAAGGAACCCTTTTTACTTTGGAACATCAGTGGGAACGACATGCAATTACAACACATAACCGACATGTTTCCCTTTTCATACCCATAAAGTATGAGGACAGTTTGCCTTGGGCAGGACTACTGCTTCCTTTCCACCGTTTAACAGCGACCACATGATCTTTGATGGCCGAGAAGGTTCTGGGCTGTGACACGGTTGCACTGCGCAATGTGCTGTGTATGTTGTTTTTGTGTGTGTGTGTGTGTGTGTGTGTGTGTGTGTAAATGACATCCTTCTGTCAAGAAGGCCGTGAAGAGCAGGAGAGACACCAGTTATAAATAAAACGCAGTTATTAAGCATCCTAGACGCAGCTGTAAATCACTGCCTGGCTTACGAGAGACGTTCGAAATTTACATCCTGAGAGATGGAAGATTTTTTTTTCTGTGTAACAGTAGTAGTGCAGACACACTACGAAGCGGTTTAGCTGCTCGTGGACTGTCAAAGAATTGTTATTTATAAATAAACAGTGGAAAAAGCAGAAAAACTGAGAAAACCCTTTTGGGGTTTGCCTGTAGGCTTTTTGTTTATAGTAACGCGCACATTCAGAACAGTGAGGTTTTATAGTGAGAATCCAGTATTATGGATTTTTAAATGTCCTTTAAGTCAGAAACACTGATGCAATGCAGCATATTGCATTTATGGGCGGTTTTCCAAACAGCGACAGCCAAGCACCCGTGGCTTCCTGAAAACAAAAGGGAGGTTCAAGAGTGAAGAGAGGCTGTGCTTTGCAGTCACATGACAAACATTTATATTGCCGTGATGGGGAGGTGTTAATGTAAATCATCCAGTATTAATGCGATTTATCACAACGTGTTCCAGAACTCCTTCTAGAAGATCTCTGGGTAACACTTTACTTGAAGGGGCTCTACTAATATAGTATATTATGCTATTACTTATGTATGAATTAACTATAAACTATGTCTTAGTTACATACTGATCTCATGTTTATTCATCATTAATGAATCGTGATGGACCTTTTATCAAGTAGCTACTATATTTGTTCATTATTTGTACTTGTAGTAACTCAGTAGTAACTTTCTATTAGCAGTATCTTTGCTATTAGCATTGATGAGGCTTTGCCATTTCTGTACAGATTAAACCACCAAAGTCCACATGAAGGTCACAGGCATACCTTCCTCATTTCCTCTATCTGTCTCAGCCTCTCCTGCTCCTTCTTCTCTCGCTCCTCTCTCCGTCTCACCTGTGGATTGAGGATTGTTGCTTTTGGACTTGGGCTTCATGTTACAAAGTAGGTCCACATAGGTTCTTCTCACAGTGTCACTCACTCTGTCTTCATGATTGCCTCTCCATTCATCCTCCACGTGCTTGGTGTCCTTCGACTGGTTCTGTGACTTCTCTAGGTTGCCCAGAAAGGCATAGTCTTCCTCTTTGCAAATCCCTCTCATTGCCTAAAAGGAGGTGATCGTTGGACCAATACGGAAGACTTTAAGCTTTGTACGTAGAAGGTACTTTTCAAATAATCTATAAGCAGATCTTTGAGTAGGGGATATACAATTTTTTTCTGTTTTGTTTTGTTAGCAATTTCTAAAAGAAAATAACATGAATTGAACTTGAAATGGAGATGTTATTAAATTAAGCACCTTAGTGGTCATAATCATTGATTCCTGAAATCTCGTGAGTGGATTTAACAGACCTTTGTACTGCTTTAGGAGATGTGATGGCAAAGGCCATTTTTTCTCTGTAAGCTGTGAGCACTTCCTTCTGAAACATACCTTGGACATGGGAATGTCTTCAAAGCGCTTCACATGAGACATCCTGAACAGACAGGGCAGTTAAAAAGTCAACAGGTTTATTAATTAACAAAGATGAATAAACCAACATGTGTCACTGCGTCAGATTTTTGTTAGATTCAACCTTGGTCCTGACAACTTGACAAGTCAGACCACAGAGTAATTTGACAAGTCCAGAAGTATTTAAGGAAAAACGCATGACCAGTTCCAAAAAGTATGTGAAGTCAAATTCAACACCATCTTGTCCTGACAGTTTAATTAGCAGTCATGAGGGGGGGAGGCTTTTATGGACCGTGTCCATCACTCACAATAATTAAGGAAGACAAACAATAGATATAATGTCAATAGGTAATTTCAAAAACATGTCAAGTATGACTGAAAAAAAATGTCCTTATAAAAGATATTTGAACCTGAAGTGCTAAAGGCAAAAACTGGATAATGGAATCTGATTTGTGGTTTTATTTGAACCTTCCTTATAAATCCCCCCAATTACCGAGCTCTCGTCTGCTCCAGCCCTGCACAGTTTCCTGAGTTGTTTTACACCATGCTGCTCGAACAACATAAATAGGAGCCAACATATACAGATAAAATGTCAAAGTGTGTAAACTACCATAATAAAACAGGCAAGATGCTGTAATCCTTACAAATCCAACACAAATCAGCCTGTCATTGCCTTTAAATACAGCAGACGGCAATAATGTCAGCAGAACTAGAATTTAAGCTCTTTAAAATAAATCCACACTTTGTACGACTGTAGGCTCCAGGCAGTTCTGTGCCTCTGACTGGGACAGAAGGTTAGAAAATGGATGGATGAGTGTTATATGATTAAATTATGAGGTTATTATTAATGTATATTACAATTGTACATCGGTGCATTAGTGTTTATAAAACACTGGCCCGTTAGTTGGTTTGAAGAAAGGCGTCTGCCATTAAGAAAAAGCTTAACAAAATTTGTAGTATGTTTTTGCCACATTTACATCAGTTAAGATTTTCATCTTTACAGTTCTTTAATTGTTAATTGTTTTCAGTTAATACAGCTGATACATTCAGTGACTTCAGAGAATCCAGTGTGGATTCAAGATCCTCTTCGTTGTAACCTGTTTGAAGCTTCTATGAATAATGCCACAGTAATTCAATGTCTTTCCTTAAAAAACTGCACTTTTCCAATTTGAGAACTAGTGTGCATGCATCTGACCGGACTGATAAAGTGCAGCTGCATGCCTCTGCAGGCATGGTAAAGAAGCAAATAATCAGCTATTTCAGTTGTCTATTCATCTAATGTCAGGCACTTTCGGTCAGCCAGGAGGCCCGAATCACTGTCCGGTTACGACTCACCTGTAGTGGAGGTGCAGCACCTGGACTCCAGCTACGTGCAGACGGTGACACTCGCTGGGTCTCCCCCGGCTACTGTTCCGGCTCTGTCCGAAAGCAGCCCAGAGCAGAGGGCTCCCCCCGGCCGCTATTTTTGGCAGCTGCCCGCCAGAAGTGCCGCGAGCGTGATAATAACAATCCGTGCCACGCCTCACCCGATCGATCGCGCATTCCCGTTGAGACAGCACCTCGGCGTGGGGTGCATTGATCGAAGGCAGGCAGAATCACGGTCACCTCACCCAAGCCCTCATAGCCTGGGAGATGTATGAGGACAGTGATGTGTACTGTTACACTCTCACAAAACATTGCTCGCTCTCATGTGAGTCTCTCCGACACAGCTGTACACCGTTTGAGACTCGTGCAGCACATCGCATTTAAGGCGGATAGATATGCATCTGGAAATTGTGTTTTGGTGATGTAAGTCCTCTGGGTTTGGAGGAATCTTTGCATCATCCAGCTAGAGACATGAGAGTTTTCAGCTGGGGTTGTGTCTGGCATGGTTTCAGTCCATGTTCTGAAAGAGTCTGCGCTCGGACAGGGGACAGGATGCGCCGGGGTGGGGAGTGGACACCCCCACAGGGGATCCAGCCTGCTGTTTGAGGGCATCTGCTCACTGGGATGTTCCCCCTGTTCTCTAATCAGTCAGCTGTAACTACAGCTAAGTGCCGTATGAACTGAATGCATCATACAGGCATGTTTGTGCAAATTTGGTTACAGACATATCACAGAGAGAGATATTTAATAGTTACCCTAGGGACCTCGGAGACTATTTTAAATCCATTGTGCTAATTGTGTTTAAACATCAACAAATAATGAAATGAGTTTGGGTCAGTGTATGTATGGCTAAAAGCTGCCCACGTTCCTATTATTCAGGAGAAGAGGTAACAGAATACAACATTATAATATAGAGGTTTTGTCTCAACAGTTAATGAGTGGAACCAATAACAAGGTTATAGCTTCCTTATAGTAGGCCGTTACATGAGGGCATCTGAATGGCCTTTGGTGTTCAGATCTCATTGTGTTTATATCTGTGCCATCTTCGCCCTGAACTTGTAACACAACACCGTAAGCTCAAAAATGAGGAAACGTGTAATATGCCTCCACTGACATTCCACCTCTGTGAGACTGATCACCCTCTCTGCTGCAGGCCCATCCTTCTCCTAGAGAACCGGAATTCTTGTGGTCAGTATTGAAACTATAGATATTTGAATGAAAGGGATACTGTGGTCCTAATACAACTTCTTCATATTTAATGAAGCTGACATCCGAAAGAGGTGATGTAAAAAATTCACATATCTGATGAGTGTGGAGGTTCTCGACCCTCCTGCCTGACTGACACGGGATTCCCCAACCGCTGACAGGAAGGACAAAGGAAGCAGCAGCCCTTAGGTCATAGAAAACATGGTTAAGTTTATTCTGATGTTTCACACAGACTTCAGGCCCTGTTTTGGTTCCAAAGGAGAAAAAGAGGGTCATTCTGTGCAAACGTCTATTAAGTTTCATCAAGTATCGTTTACTGCCGGGCAGTTTAGGATGATATTGTACAGGGCAAGCCGGCGAGGTCCGTGGCGTGGACGAGGTGGACATCACAGGGGGGCAGATCACATCGGGCAGCAGAAAAGTACTTCATTGTGCAACGTCCATCCGAAATACAACAGCAAGTTGTCGGTGACCGAGAATGCTTTTCATGTCATTTTCAAACAGATTGCTCTTATCGCTATGTTACCGTTTTTTCTTTTTTTTTTTTGGCACCGTCAATTTTTTCCTAAAAAAAGACAATGTTTCAGCTATGTTAAATTATGTCCTTGACACAGTATTTGATTCCAGCTTAAAGAAACATGGCATTTGTCACGAGACCACAGCTGTAACATTGATGGCTAACACAGTTTGTTTTGTCAAGCTGGACACGAGCTGAGCAGGATATTGTCACTGTCCAATGAAAAACACGTATCTCCAAAACTACATTATTTCAGGAGCTTGAAAAAAATTCTCAGATCGTTCCAAATAAACCAATAACAAGATAATGAGACACCATTAGCACCATGAAGAGGGACCTAACTTTACACAGCTGTCAGTGAACGGTTACAGTATATGTTTTAAAAGGACTTACATGGATTGTTGGGTCAGAGGGAACAAGATATAAACTAATCTCGCTTTATATTCACAATTAACAATGATGTTGGTCTAGCTATCAACTCTAAGTTGTTAGAATTAGTATATATAATATAAAGTAATCCACACAAATGACCTTTATAAGTACAAATGTTAACTAGTACAATCATAAATACCAGTTAAATAAATGACTTTTCATTGGTCAATTAGATTTCAAACACTATCAGTAGACAGAGGAGAATGGGCACATTCCATCTATAGTAAAAAGTCACAATCATCTAGAAGTGGACATACATGGTTTTCATCGGATCGTGACGATATACTGTAATATTATTCACTGCATAACACAAAAGAAAAGACTGTTTGAGTTCTTTTTGTTACTGGCAAATGTCATGTGAAGATCCACACTGGAGTAGTTTTTTATTTTCAGCAATGCACTCAGAGACTTTAGTATAATTACATAAAAACACAGATTTGTATCCTGAGACAAATGAGTTCCTTAGTGAAGGCTGCATTTTCACTGCACTGATGAATGAATCCGTCTGGGTTCCCCGGTTAGGTTAAGGAAACATTCTGCCTTTGGCTGGGGACTGAAGGAGGCGTGGATGCGACAGCATTTCTCGTTCTCGACATTCTCTCCTCGTAACTCAAACCCAGCTCGCCAGTCACAATATCCATCATTCCCGTCTGTCCATCCTGTGACCCTAAAGTGTGTCGCTCATTAAAGATCGTGAAAAATAGTTTCTTTCACACATCTAGACATTGTTTTCTCTCAAGCTGGGTTGGTAGGACAGTGGCAGAGTGGGACCGCCCCCCCCCCCCCCCCCCCCCCCCCCAGACGTTCCCCTAACCATACCTTGCAGGATGCCTGTGATTTTTCACAAGCCACAGTAAGCGTGTCAGCCCTGCGATGCCGTCACGCTCCCCGCACGCCTGCCCCTGACCTGGCTGAGATGTGTCACACTCATACGCCCGTTAACATGTTAAACAAAGGCCTATAAAGCATGCGTGTGAAGCTCAGTGTCATCGGATTCAACCTAATAAGCTTCAGTGAGTGACTTGGGGCTACATATGTCCTCTGCTTTTTTCCCCAATTAAAGTCACCATCAGCTATAAATATGCTCCAAAGTTTCTTGGGAACAACAAATGTATCACACTCATTTGGTCACACTTATTTTTTTTGCTTTTTTTTTTAAAACCTGCTGCTGTCAGAGGTTCGAGTCTCCAATGATCAGTATTGAATTTTCTCCACCAGACCTGAAAAATGCATATGCTGGACCATGAGCAGCAGCTTACTGACTTGCAGTCATATCTGTGACCTTTCTGTCTGCCTGCGTTCCTACCCTTGTGCTGGAATACCTGAATCAAAGAGCCCCGGGAAATGTGACCAGGGCCGACTCTAGATGCCTCTACAGGCAGAACAAGCAGTTGCCTATAGGCCCCCAAATTATTTGCGTTGCGAGGGAGTTGAAACGATCAGTGTTATTGGTTCTTGCCTTTTGCCCCAGAAAGGGTAGAGCCGACCCTGAATGTAACCCTTCTTACGAGTGAGGCGATTCGACGGTGTCGGCCCGACAGCAGCATTGTTTACTGAGGTTACCGCACCAGGACAAGATGCCGGAGAGACCTTGCAGTCCTCCGCTGTAAATCCACACCTGAAAGGAACTCTTACATAAAAGAAACTCCACCTTTACACATATAGGGTGTGAGGGCAGAGCACTCAGCTCCTCAGATCACCTTCACGAGGACCAAACCACCATAAAATCGGGAGTAGATACATTTCATACAAGAAGCCTGACATCATCTTAGTAAGACCATTCCTAACGGTAACAACATTCTTAGGTTTGCCTGAAAATCTCTCTCTCTCAGAAAATCATGAAGGATATTTTAGTGCGTGTGTGCACGTGTGGGTTATGTATATATAACATTGTCCCCATGATGGAATAAAAACCTGCTATTTTGATGTCCTGGGGACCATTTTTGGTCTCCACAAGAGGAAACTCAATTATATAAAGATCTGTGACTGCAATCAAGAAACTAAAAATGTCAAAAATCTCGTATTTTGTTAGGTTACTCATGGTTAGGGCTGGGTAGGGGTTATGGTCGTCATGTTGCGATTAGATTTTCCCCATAGAAATGAATGAAGAGTCCCCACAGAGACATGATTAGAAACCTGTGTGTGTGCGTGTGTTTAAGATGGCTGCCTGAATTGCATCATCAAATGTGAATTCCCATAAGCCTTTTGGGTTTCTGGAGAGTAAGCTGGGTGCAGCGAGCGGGACTCACATGGCGTGTGTGTGTTTGGGGGGGGGGGGGGTGGCTTGTCAGCACACTGAGTTTCGAATGTCACTGAAACACCCACACGCTGCCACTTTCCAGTTACTGATCTGGTGAATGGACCTTCTAATCTAGGTCAAATCATTTTATCCTTCATACACATACCACTTAAAAGGTGAAAATACTAATTACAAAGCAAATCTTGGCCTCTCTTGCTGCACATGATTGTCTGGAATCAAAATGATCCCATCACTGCCTTTTACTGAGAATCTGAAGTGTATTAATCCAATAGCTGACATTTCACAAATAATTGCACATAATTTATGATTATACCCCTTGTGATGGACTGGCATCCTGTCCAGGGTGTCCCCCGCTTTGTGCCCTGTACCGCCTGGGATCGAGTCCCAGGACCACACCAATCGTTTATTGGAAAAGTGGTTTGAAGATGGAATGGATAGATGGATTAATTATCTGTTATATATATATTTAACGACAATTGGCTCGTTGTAATGGAACGGTGTGACAATTATATCATTAGTTTTACAAGCAGTGTCGTTCTTTGGTGGCAAACTTCGTCGCAGGCATTCAGACGTGAGTCTCCCAGCTGCCGCCGGATGACGGAATGCAGGCCACCTGCCTCGTTGAATAGCGACCCGTCCCCAAACAGCCACGAGCACAGGAAAGCGCCGTGTGGATGGCAGTAGTGCCACTTGGCTCGGCTTTTCCCTGATCACTTGGAGTTTTCAGGATAAAGGCAGCATCCCAGCAACGAACACAGTCCCAGTTCGTTTCGGCAACATAACGTACCCGATCCCTGGGTACGTATGCGTGCACTGAGCAAAATGACTCGGCAAACCACACATGAAGACCACGGGAACCGCTCTCTCATGGCATGACAAGGCCATTGATCGTATCAAAAAATAAAAGTTCCATCGTCCAAGTTCCACATGTTCAAAAGTAAACAGTCGCTGTACACTAAGGACACGTATATAAATAATGATTATCCTTTTACATTTTGAAGAACCATACTGGCGTGCCAGTACCGTTAAGAGAGGGTGAGAACAGCAATGACCAATACTGTAGTGAAGCAGTGCTTCCGATGGAAGCCGTGTCTTCCGGTGAAGCCTCTCTCGGATGTGCGGAGCGGAAAGGAACTCGGCTACACCCGTCAGCCAACATGGTGCTCAAGCAAAGGCACGTAGTCTTACCACTGAGTCCTGTGTGCTCTGTAACCTCATCCTCTCAGTTTTCCTCGGATGAAGACTTAAATAAATAACACATATTTTCATACATCATATGTACACTATTTATACACTACATGCAATTCATATAAGTTAAATAATAATTTATATTTATGGTGCCCCCCCCCCCGTGTTTCCCCGCCCATCCGCCCCCCACCCACCCCAGCAGAGCTGTGCCCGTCTTGAGCCGCTATGTCCTGCGGCGTTTGCGCGACAGCGCACACACACAGGACGTGTCTATCCGTATCCAGTTCCAGCTGACGGAGGTCTTCTCCGAGGTCAATGCCCGCACATAGGTCTGCGACGTCTTGCACTGTGAATTCCAGTGCTTGTCGTCGATTCCCCGGCAGCCACCTTTCACCGGCTTGCTGCTCTTGCATTTGGTCTCGTAGAAGTACTGCTTCACGTCCGAGCCGCTGGTCTTGATCATGCCCAGGACGGTGACCTGGCGTCCGCGGATGTCCACAGCGCTGGTCTTGTCCGTCACCCACTGGCTCTCGCTGTCACACACCGAGTACTCGCCCCGGTAGCTCCTGTGCTGCGTGTAGCGCCTCCTCCTGGTCTTGTTGCCCATTTCCGCGGTGCTTACGTAGTCGTCGCCTAAATACATAGGCGGAGGCTGCAGCGGTGGCCTCTGGCTCAGCACCACCCGCGGTGAGTTGTGCCGCTTGTGTTGCCGGAGCAGCTCCTCACTCAAGTCCGGAACGTTCCGGAAGCCCAGAGCCATCCTCTCTGGATAACCGTCGCCGCCAAGGACGCGGCGGCCTGCCGGCGCCTCCCCTAGGTAATCCGAGCCCCAGGGCCCGTTGGACGCTGTCTCGGCCCTGGCTCCAGGGGTCTCCCCAACGCTCTGACTCCGGATGATGTCCGCCTGTAGCAGCCGGATGATGAGCGAGTTGACCGGATCCGGTGTGGGCCTGCGCTTGTCCATCGACATGGCTTGGATGCCGCACAGGTACGCGAGGAACATCACGTAGAGCAGAATGGACATCACTAGATTCACCTGAATAATCTACAGAGAAACAAAGAGGCCGTCGGCTTCATCCATGCTTTTCTCAACAGAATAGCAATAATACCATGAAGTATTCATCTTAACCTGCCCTGAGTGTTAAGTGTGCTCTATGTACGTTGGGCCTGAATTGAGAAATTCTATAAAAGGCTATGAAAATAGAGAATAACTAATAAAAGTTAAACTCTGTCAATAACTGGGAAAACTCTTTTTGATGCTAAAACTCCTACACACCACGCGATCACCCGACAGTTTAACATCTTATGCTTGTAGTTGAACAGCATCAACAGGCTAATAAATCACGCTAGCAAAGTAACTAGGCAGCCTGCACCTGCACCTGGCCATTCGTTACAGCCATTTACCCCCAAGCAGTATGCCTGTTACACATGCAGTCTCACGAGACGCATCAACAACAAACTGCAGCTATGATCCCATTTGGTCCAGCTATTAGGACGTTTTTGCTGAGCCAGGCTGCCTGTCGGCCTTCTCAACCTCTTGACAAAGAAATGGCAGACCTTACTCTGTGCTCATTGTCATTCCCTAACTACTCAGGGACTCTTTGCTGGGATTAATCAGTCCATGAGTCATTCATGCAGACCCTGATGTTTTGCTGCTCAATCTAACATCGCAGCTCATAAAATCTCTTGCAGTAAGTGAAGTCTGCATGTTAGCAAATAAATTTAGGAATAAGCTCTAACACACAGACCCAAACACCCCATATCCTTCATTTAAATACTTTAGAAGGTGTTTTGCTTTTCTATGGAGTGAAAAACTGCAACCACAATTGATTGTTGGTTGTTTGTGACCAGTGAGAAGTCAGTTTCAGAACAGCGAAGCTTTTAGGCACAAGGGTTCAGTTCAGTACCATATATAATGAAAAGTCTTTTAAAAGAGCAATAAAAGATCATGTGACAGATCGTAACACAAAGCCAAATGGAGTAAGAATCCAGGCAACTCCCCTTGATGCTGGAAGTTCAGCCCAGGTACCTCTGATCCCATAAATACAATATACTCAGAACAAACATAAGCATGCTAGTTAGGCATTTGAGTCAGATTCAGCTCTGTTCTGACAATACTCACGAACAAATGACTGAATAAATAAATAACACAGCTGTAGCCATAAATAATTCAGCGCCAATGTCCAGGTCAGCAGATTCTGGGAGTGGCGACTCATCACACAAGCAGCCGCTGCCATTTTCTTGGTTTTTAAGGTGGCAGTGATTGTCTGAACTCCATCAGTCAATGTGATTCCTCATAAGCCTTTCAGGCAGGCTGCACACGGCAGGCAGGAGGGGTCAAAGGTCAAGGAGGAGTGAGGGGGAGAGGCGGCTTCTAAAACGAACATCAGGAGGACACGGGTATCACTAATAATCTGCAAAACCATACATCATGCCAATCCCAGAGGAGCACAGCATACTGTAGGTGCCACTCCTCTGACATTTCAGATGCACCGTCCCACAAGGCGGCTGTCTCCAGAAGCCATTTCTGTGGGTTTTCTGACCCGGGGTACCCTCAGGAAGGTGCAGCAGTCCAGTATGTTATTAACGTGATTGATGAATCATGAGGTAAACGTTTCACGGCGGCAGTGAGTAGGTGTGACAGTCATTAGCAATGGCTACAAGCTGCTATTCAAAGGGCCCCTCAAGTATAAGCAGCCCCACCTAGGTCACCAACCATTGTGCCTCAACAAAAATAGAAAAAAAAACATCTTTAATCATGCCTCCTCTATTTCATTTTCCTCTTTCACTGCTACAAGCCGGGAGGAAAGCAGATGTGACTCAATGCATGAAAACAGAACCACGGAAAGAGATTCATCCAGAGAGAGGTTTCTAAGAACCTCTCCTGTGGGATTCACGCAGAGCGAGGAATCACGCAAGCCAGTGCAGGTGCCCCTTCAAACGCCCGTGGAACGGCGTCCGAGTATTTGCTGCGTGGTGACCTTAAGCTGGACTTTTGCAAAAGCAGCAATTCACCGTTAGAGTGATGAGGCCAGTCCCGCTTTCTAACACGCAGACCTGGAGCTTGGGGAGGGTTAGGTTGACTATGTGCTTTGTTGTGGCACACAGTAAGCTAGGAGGGTCATGGTAACTGTGTGACCTATGAATGAACTCATCCGTGCAATGCAGAAGTGCGGTTCACCTCCAGTGTATGTTGAGCAGTGAGCCACGTGTAAAGGTGATCAGAGAAAATCATCACCTGATCGTGGATGTAAGCTAGTTCATGGAGATGTTGAGGTGGTAAAATCTTGCCACACTGACACATCGTGAATTTCATGATTCATGATGCTTGAGTGTCACCATTGGAAACGTGACACATACGTCACAAGACGTACGTCATGTGCAACCAAACAGGCGTTTCATGCAAGGAATGAGCATCTGATATCAGTCTTTATTAAGGATGTAAATGAAAATCTGGGCAAGTGACCTTTCTGGCAGAAGATGAAGATGTCGAGAAAGGGGCCTCCTAAACACACGAATGTAGGAAACAGTCGGAGGTTTTTACGTGAAACTATCTTGTAGGTGTCCTTGCTCTGCCAAGGACCCCTTGCTGGTTGCAGTCACGGCCTCCTGTTATACGCACGGCTGCCACCTTGTGACGACGGAGCGTCAAAGTCACCTTACGGGCAACGGCTCACGGAGAACCATGCCGCTGCGGTGCCTTAGCACCGCTGCTCCGTTTCATAAATGCAACAGCGTGAGTTTTTAACGATTATCATCGACTAGCATCAATGCTAATTTGTCATAATGGGTCGTACGGGATGCTCACGACGCACAAAAGCTTAACAAAAGAAAAACAAAATGGATGGCGCCGGCATCTGGAATCTGATTCGGTTCATCGCTCAGTTATAAGTATTTTTAAAAGGGGTAATCGGAAGAAACGTATTTAAAGGATCCACAAAGTCGGGTAGAGGGACCATCTGTGGCCAATGTTTGCCTGTAGCAACCTGTCTAACCTCAGTTTGTTTTACAGCACAGAAGAGGCTTTCAGACTTGGCAAAGTCAAAAGTCATACTATACTTGACATTGCATTACAGTACATTAGAAACAACCGGAGCTTCTATTGTGTGCCATTCGGGGCCATTATGATTCTGTTGCGGAAACCTGTCACCTACTTGTTGGGCATGTAAAAGTAATTGTAGCTAATGTTATAAAAAAGAGGGAAACAAAGTCCTGAATGAATGAAAACTGTCTGCAGTTGCACACACCTATACATTCAGTGGTACCCATCCCTTTGTGCCTTTGAGAGGCGTATTCTACTCGCAGTAAAAGGCCCTTGTTCCCTTTCTCAGAAAGCTAGAAACTCATGACTGCAGATCCTATCCACACAGTCGCAGGCCGACCTGAGTTCAGTGCCAGGTGAACCTACGGCCCACCCTATGAAATTACGTACACATACTTTGTTTTGCATTTATAACATTGAGCACATCAGGGTTTTCACAAAAGTTGAACTCGACACAAAAGCAAAAGCCCAAATCGCTTTTGGCGTCATGGAAAAATGAAGCTTCGCAATGTACATTTCATTGACAGATTGGGTAGGCGTCTCTTTTTTTAAAAAATAACCCAGCCATTGTTTGAATTAAAACGCCCCCTTCTCAGATATAAGGAAGTCTCTTCAGATGTTCTTCCAGCTGTTGATAAACCTCTAGCTAAATTACAGTCACTTCGAGAAACAGAGGTTCAACAAGTCTGACAGCGCTTACATCTCACATGTAAGTTTACTTTCTCATGTACCCTCAAGGCAATCCATTCATATATCAAATATTTCATGCAAACATGCATTACGAAACACTACAGCCCTCATATCTCCAGTTTTTGGTTCATCTCAAGCTCTTGATACAGAGTTTGCATATCCATGCAGTTAAGTCATCTGGCATCTCTAAACTGACCAGAGTATATGATTGTGTGTGTATGACCTTCAGCAGACTGGTGTCCAGGCCAGAATGTCCCTGTGCCCTATGCATCCTGGAATAGGCTCAAGTTTCACTGCAACTCTGTACTGGCTAAGCGGTTATGGAAGATGGATGAATGTTCTGTGATAGCAGTGCTGAAACTGTAGTCCTGTACCCAGTTGCATTTGGAAGGCCTATATCTGCTGATCATGTGAATCTGCATTTTCAAAAGATGTATAAGGAAATATACATTGTGTGTGTGATATTGCGATGTACTATTTCATTAATCGGAACTGAATATCCATCCATTTGTCCATCTTCCAGTACAGGGTTGCTGTCGATCTGGAGCCTATTTGAGGCAGTAAAGGACACAGAGGTGGAGGAACAGGATGCCAGTCCATTGCAGGGCACAATTCTGAAAATGACCAGTGGAAAGTTAAGGTTAAAAATGCCAACATTAGCACTTTTTTTCTGGTGACTCTCACAGGTCAACATACTACAGCTTACAGCTCTATGACATTTCTGTACAAAGTCATTTTTTACAATGTCAAATTGACCCTACTCATCTTGATCTTTACTGCTCGATTAAATTTTGATTAAATTTCTGACTGGAGTAAGCGAATGATCTGTAACAGCATTAATAGCCGTAGTCCGTGGTTGAATGTCATTAAAAGGACTCTGTATTCGTCCTCTTCTTACACGTCACACTCGTGTCAGGACACTGACCTTCATGAGTCCTTGTACCGCACTGAGGCTAAGTTTCTGTGTCCACCTGATCCAGCATCACATCTGAAAGGACGGCATTAACGGAAGCCAGGATGTCTACAGGTCCTTGAGCGAATCTATAAGCTTTGGCACCACACAGTGTCCGGTCTCAAGCAAGAATTTGCACACACTGCTTAGGAAAATGACGGACCAGAAAGAAAGAACCTAAAATAAAAGACAGAGGCCCAAATCCTTGATAGTTAGACAGATAGAAGATGAGTCGTTCCTTATGTTGATCAATTGCTACTGAACAAAAACGGAAGACGCCGATATTCTGCCTGCAGTGTAAAAGACAATTTTCCTGATAAAAGGCAGCATTCTCACATCACAGATGCCTCGATGGTACCTGAAGCAAAATTCCTCTCTTTATTTAACCAAAGTATAGAGACACTATTGGAGTTATGCAATCGACAAGATGGTCGCCCTCTGATAAGGTGATGTGGCCTACATGCCCGTGGGGAGTCGGGGGCATATATGGCCGGGGGAGTGTACTGACGATCAGGGGATCGGGTGCGGGGCCGCTAGGCCAAAACACTGCGATAACACAGAGCAGGCATAACTAACGGAGGGACTGGCAAGTTGAACCTTTTTATGGTTTTCTAAAGCACAAGTCAGCATTGTTAAGAGCTCAGTGGCCCAAAGCCTGGTGTCTTTGAGAAGCAGAGTACCTAAGATACGGCATTGCCGGAAGCACATTTAAAAATGCTATTGATTGCGTACAATTGGCCCTCACAGGAGGCTGTAAGAACCATCTCAGTCTAACGGGAAGTTCGCTCTTTATATAAGAGTCTTGTGACATGCGTATATGTTTTTATCTATTTTTCCTTCCTGTCACTCTGACCTGAAGCATTTTTAATGCTGAAATTTGAACAAGCTTGAAAAGTATTTCTGTGGCAAGAGCCAATGATCAGGTGTAGCTGAAGCTCACCATCTGATTTACTTCTGTTTGTTGGGAACTTAACTGGTTCAATTGCAGAGACACGTGCTTTTCACCTAATCCAGGATATTGACCACAAAGCAATGATAGAATATACAAATATCTCCGAAGCACAGTTTCAGTTGTAGGTACATTACATATCACCTAAGACTATCTGAGCTTTTAACTCCACTGGGATTGCTTGGAGATTAACAACTGCTTTGCACTGCTATAGAAAGTAAATGCCTTATCAAAAAAAAAAAAAAAACAGGTGAAAATAATATGAAGAATTACAGCAAGACTTAGATTTTCAGCTTGACGTCCTGGTAACCAATGGGCAAGAACTTGTAATGTAAAAAAAATAATTCCACAGCTATCAAAGTCGTTGTCTGATCTATATTAAATTTTCACCTTCATGAATTAAAACCCCTTCTACAAACGTTTAGGACAAGATCCTGTGGAGAACGACAAAAAAAAATTCATAAAGGTGTCTAATGAGCATTTATGACCAGTACTATACAATAAAATACCGAAAATGACTAAACAGACTTAGTGGCCACTTTATTAGGTACAGTTATGTAGTACTAGGTAGGATCCCCTTTTGTCTCTGGAAATACTGTTGTGCAGTTGTGCTTTTGGAGATGCCATTCGGCCAGCTGTTATTTTTACATTTTCAGCCAGGTGTTTTCTGCACTCACCCTGATACCTCCAGCATGATGTTTTCTGCAGCCGAACCTACACTGACTGTATGTTTTTATCCAACTATTCTGTGCAAACTCTAGACACTGTAGTGCCAGAAAATCCCAGGAGGGCGGATATTTTTGCGATCCTGGAACCACCATGTCTGGCACCAACAAGCATACCATTTTTAAAATGACTTAGATCAGGCATCTCAGCTGCACAGTAACTGTACCTCTGTCTGTACCTTGTCTGCATGCTGTATATATTCAGTTGCAGCCATATGATTCCCTTTGAAGTTCAGGCTCCTTTCGTTACCGAGCACGTGTACATAATAGAGTTACATCTTGTATAGGCTATATACATACAATAAGAACAACGAAAATCACCGAAATGTGAAAGTAAGGCAAAACTGGACTTGAAACATCATAAACATAGCCTACTATGAAATTATAAGTGGCATCTATTAATTTGCGTATTTATTTGACCAGTTTATGTGCCGTACTATGTCCAGGCATCCTGCTTCATTCACATACTGAACTGTAAACTTTAACTGAGAGTAACATGCGATAAACTTTCTTTCGCAGAATGTCTCCATTAATAATAAAGTGGCGAAAGGCACTCCTGGGACGTCTTGGGACTTGGCAGGCGCAAGTTTGGCCGTGTATTTTTTAGGATTGTTTGTCTAGAAACGGAACCGCGGCCAAACACATGCGCAAACAAACTTCCCCGACAAACCGACAGTATTTAATGAAACGTAAAACCCACTGCACTTCCGAGTAAACAGAAAACGCCTCCGCGCCGTCCATGTGCTTCTAGTGACGAATTAATTTTAATTCTATAGCCTATAGTGAAACAGCTGCATCACTGACACCGGAGTTTGCATATGTGATACGAGCCTCGACAAAACCATTAGCTCTAGTTAGCTGGTTAAAGCTGGTGATCGACAACACGTTAATAGTGACCCAAAGCAAGCATGTTTCCCATTCATTAGAACATCTTGCGGTCGCATTTAGCTGAAATAAAACTGTTCGTGAAAGTGTACTAATAGCATGCGGCTCATTAAGGCTTTATAATTGTCGGAAACTACAACCAAATAGCCAGTCTTGCTGAAAGTAGGCGTGGAAATACACAGAGTTAACATGCAAGGACATCTCCAACATCTCTTGTGTAAATTTTGGATTGGTTTCATGTAGTAGATTATTTTTGGCAGCAGATAGCCCCAGCAGTGCCGATTATTTTTTAATCGTAGTGGTCATTTTCTACAGAAAAGTTACAGTTTACAAAGTGCATACCAGCTGTGAGAAACACTGGATACGAAAGAGCAGGATACCCGAAAAATACTTGGCAATACGCTACTTGATAAAGAAATGCGCTTAAGCCACAATGCAGGGTTTATGAATGTATTATAATCTGAAATATCTGGATCTTCTCTTTCCCAAACTGCTAGCAACCCTATTTATATCGTCAGCTGTTTAGACTCGGGTAGGAAAAATGTGAGCAATAAAAAACGTTTTGTGTTCGGCTACGTTGGGAATGACGGATAGGAAGAGCAGTAATGAAATATGGATAAACCCGTGCAGTGCCACATTTCACAGGGCCAACGTTACTCGCTGCTGTTGTTTATTTGTCCTTCACGGCTTAAAAAAGTGCCTCTAACGCAGAATATTACGGCTTTCACAATGACTAACTTAAGTGTCTGCCACTGTGAAGTTGTCCAGAACTTTTGCAATGGCCTGGGCATTAGTGAGGATCAAAACGCACCACCTACAAACCAGTCCCCAGTTAAACAAGAGGCTCCCTTCCTAACTCCTGCCTATCCTACCTCCTGCAGATGTTAAGGGGGGCAGTTTGTCACTTATGGTTCCCAGATTTCTCCATGAGCAGCCTAAATGTGGTGCATTGCTTGTCAGCAGGAGCAGCACACATATCTTGTGCATTTACAAATGCATCAATACCTGACATTTGCTAGAAGACGCCTCAAGGCTTTGAATAGGCAGCATTCTCTAAGCATATTATTCCCCTGTGAGGACAGGCAGGGGTCAAAGCAGGGCACTGACCAAAAGGTAAGACCGCTTGTGGCAAATAAGGACAGCCATAAATCCCTCACATAGGTCAATGACATGTAATTAACCTGTTACAGGATATAATTTTAAGTGCCAAAACGTTTTACTTTATCTGAGTGCTGTTTCTACACCGAAGATAATCTAGTAAAATATGACATTTGGTGTTTTTATTTTGATGAAAACATCTGGGCTTTTTGAGGGCTGTAATGGGAGAAAGGGGAAGTGGTCCACATCTTGTAGTAATACTGGTTTGGCTGGTGTCTAAGCACAACATGTATACTTTTGATCTGTCCTGCCACTGCGGTGCCCAGCTGTCTTCATCCCAAGTGCCGCACTGTCATCAGAGTCTGAGCCCTTAGCTGTGCCGTGCCACATCAGGATGCATGGGGGCGCTCATGCTGCCGTAAAAGGAAAGTGTGGGTCTCTGCAGACTGGTGAAGTGGGTGTGTCAAAAGGTGACGTGTGCAATAGAGCAGGCGTGCCCAAACCTTATTTCTATTGGCCGAAAATGCTGTCAATAAACATTATTTCAGAATGAGACCAGCTATTTACCAGGCATATACACTTTCAGAAATTTGGACCTTTGCTTCTCACTCGGCTGTACCTTTATAATTGTACCTTTTAAGATATAGGAATGGACTCCCAAAGGTATAAACAGCATTCATATACCATTAATGGTTCCTCAGAGTCCATATATATACCTTAGAAGGTACGATTGCCTACCCTAAGGTTACAATTGGCAGGCCCTTGAGGATACAGCCCCAGTGACAAGCAAATGTACAAATTTTTACCCTTTTATTCTGAGAGTGTACATTAGGTCAATAAATATGATTAACAGATATCTATAATTAAATGTCTGTTTCATATTTGTTCATATAGGCTGATACTTTTCCTATGCTTTTGACTTTTTGACACTCCCGCTGACCTCACAATATGCTTGCTAAGGTTTTGACACGCCCATTATCCTTTTGACACACCTGCTGACCTTTTGACATGCCCAGTGACCTTTCGACACGCCCACTAACCTTTCGACCCGCCCACTAACCTTTCGACCCGCCCACTAACCTTTCGACATGCCCACTAACCTTTCGACCCGCCCACTAACCTTTCGACCCGCCCACTAACCTTTCGACCCGC